CCCCAAAACCCCAAAACCCCATTGTGAAGTATAGTTGGTTTTTAATGGTAAAATAATATAATAAATGATTTATAATTAGATATACTTTACTCTATATTTATTCTACTTACTCTCCTTTTCATTAAATATCCGAACTCTCAAAGCTATACCACCTCAAAGACATTAATTAGCACAGTAGTCATCTGAGGGTTTGTTAAAAGAAGATATTAGTAATGTAAGAGATGATGATAATTTGAGTCAATCTCATAGTGGCAAAAACAAATTAACAGAATTATCTTCAGTTTGCGAATGAAAATAGCATAGTGGTAGCATAAAAAGTTCAAAAAATGATCTCTAGTCAATCATCCATTTACCAAGACCTAAAATTGAGCTCATTAATCTAGATGATGAAGACTGAATTAATGAAATCAAAGAAAATGGAGGTCTCTTCCTAAAAACTGGTGATATGATATTTGTCACAGCTAGGATAAACGTAGAGGCAGGTTAATCATGGAGAGAGACTGGTACACCCCTGAACACGAGAATATTGCAGATTATTGAGAGTGAAGACATAGTCATTTAGGACTCGCGTGGAGAAGAAACTGGAGATGTTCAGACTGTTGAAATACTGTAAGCAAGAAATACAGGGCATACTATATACTAAGTGGGATTCGACTGGGGTGGTATAATAATTAAAGAGGTGATTATTAAGATCTACGTAAATTAAGAGTTTTGCCTCTGCGTAGTTGAACCTTGCTTGAGTTCAGATTATGGCTTTTAGAAGCAGATTCTCAGTCAGGTCCAAAGAGGGGAAAAGCAAGTTGATTAAGACCAGATAAATTAAGAAAATAAGGAAGAAAATGAATGATTCAATATATCGGAAGTTTACTGTGATACCTAAGACGGTACAATATAGTCTTAACAAAGCACTATTCTAATTAAAAATTTACTAAGCTTAATTTCGTTCAAAATCTAATGCTACTAATTTAAGTCGATAATTGGCATGGGGTTTTGGGGTTTTGGGGTTTTGGGG